ATAATTGTTTACGTTTCCGTGATATTTTTTCTGAGCCAGATGGAGAAGTAGATCTAGAACGGGACTTTCGAGAACCACTTCTAGAGCGATCGGATCCTTTTGAATTGCTTCGTGATCTATTTGATCCTTTAGAACCACTTCGGGAACGTCTGGATGCAGCAGACCCACTTCGAGAACGTTTCGATGCAGCAGACCCACTTCGGGAACGTCTGGATGCAGCAGACCCACTTCGTGAACGCTTCGATGCAGCAGAACCACTTCTTGAACGTCTGGACACAGCTGAACCACTTCGTGAACGTTTCGATCCAGCAGACCCACTTCGTGAACGTTTCGATGCAGCAGAACCACTTCGAGAACGTTTCGATCCAGCAGACCCACTTCGTGAACGTTTCGATGCAGCAGAACCACTTCGAGAACGTTTCGATCCAGCAGACCCACTTCTAGAACGTCTGGATGCAGCGGAACCACTTCTAGAACGTCTAGACGCAGCAGAACCACTTCGGGAACGCCTGGACGCAGCAGAACCACTTCGTGATCGTTTTGATGCGGCAGATCCACTTCGTGAACGTTTCGATGCCGCGGATCCACTTCGTGAACGCTTTGATGCGGCAGAACCACTTCGGGAACGTTTCGATGCCGCGGATCCACTTCGTGAACGTTTTGAAGCAGCAGATCCACTTCTTGAACGTTTTGAAGCAGCAGATCCACTTCTTGACCGCCTAGATGCAGGTGAACCATTTCTTGAATGTTTTGATACAACTGAGCCACTTCTTGATCGCCTAGATGCAGCTGAACCACTTCGTGAACGTTTCGATGCAGCAGAGCCACTTCTTGATCTTCTAGATGCAGGTGAACCGTTTCTTGAATGTTTTGATGCAGCTGAACCACTTCTTGATCTTCTAGATTTTGCTGATTCGCTTTTTACAGATGTAACAGAATTACTCCTAGATTTTCTTAAATCGGGTGATTTACTATTAGATTTTCTTGAAGTATTTGAACCACTCCTGGACCTTCTATTATCTTGTTCCACATTGCCGTTGTGTAAATTCACATTGCTGTCATCACAATTATTTTCATAACAAGTGGTTACATCTTGATCAGTAGAGTTTTGT